TGTCCAATCATAGAAATATCAGCACCAGCTTGCAGGGCTTCCATGAAGGCTTTGGTCCCGGACTTGGCAATAGTGCCCAAGTTGTTGATGAGGTCGGCCTTTGTCATCCCAATGCCAGTGTCAATTATGGTCAGGGTGCGAGTGACCTGGTCAGGAATGATATCAATCTTCAGGTCCTTGCAGGATTCCAGCCTGCTGGGGTCCGTCAAACTCTCATATCTGATTTTGTCCAAAGCCTGAGAAAAGGTAAATAATAATAGTACATCAATCTATATTAACCACTGTGCAAAATATATATGCATAATGCTATTGAGTGAAAGCAATAAAAAATTCTTATTAAAATAAAATAGATTATTTACATCTCACACATTAATAGTATATTGTACAAAAATGTCTTTGATGAGTAAAAACAACATCTTCTACAAAATATACGTACATCTGATGAGTTAGAGATAAGCTCTCTAAGAAAGATCTCCTTATTGGAATAGAAGGTGTTGATGATCAGAGACATCAGTTGGGCAATCTCTGCCTGAAAGGCAAAGGTCTCCACCTCCTCCTCCATGGGCTGGCTGACTTTTTCTGGCATCTGTAGAAACAGATTACGCATGTTAGTCTCACATGCTTTACAACCTGCCTGCTACAGGGTTTGTTTTAATCTCAATAATTTCCCCATAATGAGGGTTTTTGTACAATCTTACAGAAGCAGCATTAGAATTCAAACAAATACATAAAGTCGTTGAAATATATGACATATCTGTTGTCAAAGTTAAAGCCCTTAAAATAAGGGGCTCACTGGGAATAAAATTAAATAAAAATGTAAAAGAAAAAAAAACATCTATACCACAAAGTAGATTGTCCTGTTATTGAAATATTTACTCAAGTACAACAATCACCATCATCAATTAATCAAGGTATGGTATGCACTTGGTATGCCTTCATACTATCCCACTTCTTTATACTACTAAAATAATAAATAGCTTAATGACAAATACTTTTCTGAATCTTTTATTTACCCTTGAATCCTTTAGTGCTGAATATGTCACAGAGAGTAAGTCATTAAGACAGCATGGTCACACAGAGTGACAATGAAGCACAAGGGAGAGCTCGTCACTGGTTCATCACTGCATGTGTTGGCCTGCCAATCACAGGCTTCACTTTTGTCGAGGGGGGGGGTGGGTGACTTCTCACACCCCCTCAAAGACCAGCAACTTTTCTGATGGCCTTTTCCAGAGGTGGGTAGTTCAGGTCCAGAGAGTAAAAGTCCAGAACAAGATTTTGTTTCAAGGAACGAGTTGAATTCCCTGTGACTCTTTAAACTCAGCTGGTTGGTTGAAAGAAAATCTTGGTCTGGACTTTTACTCTCTGGACATGAATTACTCACCTCTGGTCTTTTCAATTGAATAAATGTATTTATTTGTTATTTCACCTCATTATGAAAAAGAGAAAGTTCCTGATAATGGTAACGTTACATTATACAATGCTACAATGCTTTATACAGCACAAAGCACTGTCAGTATCTAATTTCATGGTTTCACTAAAACATTTAAGAAATTGCTTATAACTGAAATACCTCTGTTTCAGATCCTTATTGCAATGTCTACTTAATGTACTACCATTAAAAACCTGGTCTCTATTAGTGAAATCATATTGGTCTTAGTAAAATATTGCTTAGTAGCACATGTCTGTTTCAGCACCATGTGCTCTGTCACAGTCTTCTTTACAAAGGAGGGGTGGAACATTCACAGAACACTTATAATTCAACACAATCACCTCATTCAAACAATTACGAACCTCGACTATCTTCAGTCAGTGTGTGACTTTTTTTTGGAATCTAACAAGATTAATTAATCTAAAAGTGATACTCAGTACAAATAGTTTGTGTAAAATGTATTCCTTTATAAAAGCATCCCTAACCTCATTTGTTTCCAAATGTTAAAGTACACATAATTGAAACTGCTCACCTTAATGAAAGCTGTAGATGAAAACTGCAGGGTCCCTTCTTATTCAGATTAGACCTCCTTTGCTCGTTTGCTCGAATGCAGCACGTGTGGCCTGCTGCAGGGCTTTATACCCAGGGCTGCTTTATCAGTGGTCCAGTCCAGTATGTTCCAGAAGGAATGCACCCCGCAAACGGGTGGCCTAAAGAAAGTAACTGAAGCTGGGAGTGCATGCACAGCTGTTACGGTCCGTCCTTATAGGGCTGCAGAGCACCAGGAGACCCTGTCAATCCCAGCAGCCCCCATTCTTGGTGTCACATGTTACCCCCTGGCAGCGTCATAGTGACGGTTGATGACTAGTGCCACCTGGTCTTAGGACCCCACAGAACACCATAAAATGAAGCCCTCATACAGACGACATAATAATTAAAAGTGAGTTCTACAAAGTTATACAAGATGGTCTTTGTTGCTCAAAATAGCCTTTGTGCCTCAAGTGTTTTCCATTGATAAAAATGATAGTTTACAACCTGGTGTGGAATGAACCTTTATTAAGAAACAAATTTGGCATACGTTAGGGGCAGTTTGCAAAACAGCGTAGGCTATATGTCAATTAAGCAGAAAAAAAAATATTCTAACCAATAATAATTAAAACCTGAAAATCCTTGCCATTTTAGCATATACGCTTAAAGGGTCTAGAATGTGTTCCTTCAAATACGAGTTAAATTTTGAATATTGGAAATGCTAGTGCTCATTGTTTACTTTTTTAATGCTTTAGCATTTTAAATAGTAAAATACGGGCAACAGGAACTAGAGCGTTCTAGTTCCTTCGCTTCAGTTTACAGGAAATATCGTCGAGAATGCGCTCGAAGCACGCGGGATATCTGTTTCAATGTATCATCATGATAAGAATTGCAGGGGTTCCTGTTTATACAACCTTCTTGATTTTAAGATAATAAGCTAACTCTGGGCTAGTTGTTTGTTTTGGAGAAATTACCCCCCTCCCCCCCAAAAAAAAAAAAAATATCGACCAATGCGATTTAGTTATTAGCCAAATAAAAAATAACTGCAGATATAAACCATAATTATAATATTTAAATTACCGTTGCACACACGAATCCAGGATTCAGGACTGAAGATACTGTGGAAATTCGGGATCATTATCATAATTATTTTACGATCGTAAACACAGACCTCAGCACAATCCACACTTCTCCTCTGCCTCCCTAAGATGAAATTCCATTGGCTTCCCCCTTTGTCATTCGAAGAGGCGGGACGAAGCAGTGCAGAGTTCCTGCTAGAGATGGACATAGGATTCTTCTCAGTGAATCAATCCTTAGGAGTCCGTTCAATCAAGTGAAGTGTCCACTGATTTGTTTAGTGAATATTTTTTCGCTCCTTATTATTAAACATTTAAGAAAATGTTACATTTTTTATTATTATTATTTGTTAAATTGTGCTACAATGATTAGGAAAAAAATATTTGGATTTGATATGTATTTATAGATCATTTAAAAGTGTTACATACATATTTATTTATGTTGTTGTGTATTATTCTATTAATTTGATTATGTTGGCCATTCTGTCTCAGCCGTGAACGGCATGATCACTAGGTAACGAACAGAACAGCGCCGTGACCAAACTAATTTCGTTCAAGTTGAATATAGCAAAACCTTTATGCTGAAACCAAGTAGCACAACAAGAACAAATAATCGAGTTGGATAGCTTTGGATACTATTACAGTATTTTGGAGGTCCCTCCACCATGTGGGTCTCACCCCAGCCGCTTCTCACGTGCGGCTCCCTGATGTAGGAAGGAGCTGCCGAATCACGTCCGGTCATCACATCCAATCTCCGCTTTCAAGAAATGCCTGAAGACCCGTCTGTCCTTGAATTCTTCTACCAGCCTGATATAAATCTATTTTTTCTGAATGTTCTTAATGTTTCACAAATCACATAACTCATTCTGCACATGCTCAGTTTAGTCATCATTTCACATGTGAAGAACACTCTAAAAACACTCATATATAAGGGAAATTTAATTTGAGGTAAGAACGTAATTTTTTTACTTCGTTTATTTTTGTGATGCCACTGCAAGTCTCCGTACATTATTATAAGTTTTTTTTATGTGCCAGTGTAAATTTCTTTTACATAAGTTCTGAGTGCTAATATTTTCTCTTTGTTGCAAAGTAACCCTGTTCACGGCTACCACAGGGGTAACAGCTTAAGGCCCCCTAAAACAGGCCTGATGCATACTATTATTCAGTTATTAAAACTGATGTACAGTTGCACATTTTATTGGTTTTATGGTATTTGGTTGAAGTATTTTAGTTGTAATTAATATACATTGTCCAAACATGCATACATACCCACAAATTTTGTTGAACAAAAAAATAAATAAATAACTTTGTATGGCTTGAAATTGTTTGACATTATTTATAATGTTACATTTAACCAAGGGCTATGTTACTATGCCTGACTATAGGGTAAACTGTGACATTTTACTCCATGTGTTTGAGGCTAAACCATTCATTTTCTGTTTGTGATACATAAATAATCTGTGCCGTTTAATGGAGACACATGTAGGTAGTTTGTATCAAATTTTGATTGCGATTCCATAAGAGAGGTCCGAGGTACAGGCAAAAATGTAAAAAGTGTTACATCCGTCCCCGGTCCCCCCTCGCTGGGCAGCTCAGCCTCGTTGCTCTTGTGCCTATAAGTCGACTCTTTGACAGCACGTATTTTGGTAATGTGCTTTTATGCATGTGTACGTCGCTTTTTAAAAAGGAAAATAAATGTAAATGTTTTCTCCCACAACATATACATCAAATTGTAATTCAATCTTTTCGACTCATCAATCGTGTTATATGTATAGTATAAAAAAGTATGAACACCGAGAATGTTCGTTGTAGCGAAAGTTGCATTAGGGCATCGTGGCACCTACCGCTTTGTGCAAAATTCTTACATCTTCAAATATCCATAACAGCTTAATAATAATAATAATAATTCGCTGAATGATGTATCCGTATTTCGCTGAACCCAGATTTGCATGACCAGAGGGAATGAGCACTCCAAAGCACCTTTGGCCTAAGCACTAAGCGATAAAAAATAAATAAATAAACGAATGAATAAATATAATATAATTACGACGATTCCAAGGGTTACTGAGTGACAGGGGCCCTAAAATTTTTGTGAAATAATCGGATTGGTCTATACTAGGGGGGAATACGGTTAAAAAATAAAAATAATAATAATTTTTTAGAAAAAAAACATTAATCTAAAATAATCTAATCGATTCAAGATTTTTTAAAATAATATAAAATAATAAAGAACAAGAACAATAATAATAATAATAATAATAATAAAAAAAATAAAATTAAACGTCAAGATGATTTTCTGGAGAAAAATCAATTGGTTAGATTAATCGACCAATCAGTAAAACAGTTGATAGATTCATTCATAGAAAATAGTCGTTGGTGGCAGTACACCAACTGAATCATGGGCGTCGCCGCCATTAAATAATTTCATAATTATTCGTTTGCCCCCCCACACACACACACAAACACACACACATTTAACATAAATATTAGTTCACCCAGCGCTGTTTCTATTGCTTCGCGAAAGAATCCATTCCAAAATTAGGTGTTTAACAACCTGTTAAAAATACATCAGAATGCAGGAAATGGCATCTAATTCATAAAAAAAAATTATGGGGCAGGGTCCCCCCACATTAAAAATGCTTCTGACGCCTCTGAACTGAAATGATAGAGGAATATGAGACTGCATTCTACATGAGACTTGCCGAACAGAATTGTCTTGTTGTCCCTTAATATCCGGTGAGCAGTACTAGGAAATCTAAACTCCAGTCCAGAGCCATAATTTTAATAGACCGTCCTCAAAGCTTTCCATTGCAACTATTGTTTATTGAGTAGCTTCGGAACAGCACATACAGATCAAAATAAAATCAAATTATCTTATCCATTGCTGCTACGGTTATCATATTTATTGCTGCCTCCTATTGAATTTTCTGCCTGAATGCTATTTCAGTCATCGTTGTAATTATTATTTTTTCAGTCATATTAATTAAACATTTTATTCATATATTACTACCCACAATACCTTTTTGATAATAACCCTGTCATACAGCGTGTTCTTGCTGGCACTCCTGGTCTTGTAATTGAGAGCTGCGGCACATATTATCGATGTTTGTTTCACAACGATAATACATGTCTTATAATAGTTGAACTTGTACCAATATTTAACAACCACTAGGGGGCATTCAAGCCCACCAGGTGACAGTTTAATAGCATCTCAAGTGAAACTTTCATTGTCCGACTTTAACTAAATTTGGCACATTCAACTTATGGTTGATTTGGTAAGTTTGAGCATGTCTCATAAATAGCACCGAAAGGCTGAAGAAACGAAGCCAAGCTTTCAGCATAAAAATGAGGAAATCAGAATATATTTGAATTGAATATATTTATAGATGTATATTTTCAATATATTCAATTCAAATATATTCTGATTTCCATATATATATATAAAGAGAACTCAAATACATATGTAACACAAATTTTGTTTCTATTAGTTAAAGCACCAACTATAAGGTCTACCATATTTCGTGTATTTGGGAAAAACTGAAGACCATATAGACATATTGTATACCATTGGAAGTATCTTAATTCACAGAAGAGGAATACATACACATTTTGAATATTTGCCTCACGAGATATTAACCAAAGCGCGTCTTAATTAAGGACTCCTTAATATACCCCGCAAACTGTCTGTTCCGCAGGCTGAACTCAGGCAGACGGTTCCGTTGCCTGATGTCCAAGACAGAGAGACTGAGGAAGTTTTTACCCCCCCCAGGCCATAAGGTTTCTCAGTTCAAACTAATTCTGGTCCTTCTGTACATTTATGTATGTTTGTTCAGGAATTAATTATATAATGCACATGTTCACTTTACTGCACAAATAATTTAGTCTATACATCATCTCGCCATTGCACTATATTTAGAATGTATATTTGGATTGCATGTCTGATTTGATAGATCGTATTTATATATTGTAATTTTGTTTTTGTTTGTTTTTTACTCCTACTTTACTTTTTACCATTTTTTCTTCTAATTTTGCACGACCAAATAGGGTCAGTCAGAGATACATTTCACTCCATGTTGTACGAATAAACCTCTTGAATCTTGCTTTGTTATAGCGCCCTCTTTTGGTTGAAACGCGCCATGTTTTGCAAGTCACAAGAAGCCCTCAGTCGGTAGCCACCCATCAAATTTGATTAATATTTGAACGGTGTAGGCGTCAGAGCCACAAATGTGAAAGACGTGTACAGTAAATTCACACGGAAAACAGGACAACAATTTATAATAGGTAGCAAATGAAGTCGAATAAAGAAATGTGCAAAAGAAATCGTGAAAAAGTAGGTTATGCATATTTCGTAAAATAGCGGGAAAAATCATAACAAGCTTATATAAAGTTTTGAATGCACGACTCACGCTTGCCAAGGTATTGTGCAAAACGCGTTTATTTGTATATTATAGCGCCCTCCGGTGGTTGACGTAGGTCATTTTTACTTGGCTGTAGAACAGTGGGATCTTTTTTTTAATTAATGCTTATCGAACAAACACAGAAATTTAACATTACACATGTTCTACTGCAACAGCCAAGCAGCAACCGCAGCACAAATTGCACATGGAAAAAGAAAAGAAAATACTCGTGTATATGCATACACATATATACTTATATCGTATACACATATACAAATATATAAATAAACAACCAAAGACAGAAGGGGTCTATCCATTCGGGGGGAAAAAAACATTTCAATTTTGCACATCTCTCATTTTCTCTAACGCTCTAATAAATAGTTTAAAGTCATTCTCAAAAGCTCTAAAACTAGGAGTAATCCTAAAAAATCTTCAGCTGTGAATGTAAAACTTGGCAAGAACAGTGGGATCTACCTACCCTTTCACCATTCTAATAATAATAATAATAATAATAATAATAATAATAATAATAATAATAATAATAACAACAACAATAATAATAATAATAAGACGTAATTAATTAATTAATACAAAAACAATAGGGTTCCAGCATTACGTGCCTGGACCCCTAGTAATAATAATACATAGTTTTAGAACGCTGATCACTACTGGTAATATACTGTAGGGACTTGGGGAAAGTTGCGCTTACACGTGAACTCCCACAATCAGCTGACTGGATAGCGGCGAGTTTCTGGGAATACGCATGCGCTGTGAGCGAGATCCGGGCTCGGGGAAGGATGAATGCTAATTTCCAAAATGGCGGCGGAGGGAGGAGGGAAGGAGATGAACGAAATCAAAACTCAATTCACCACTCGTGAAGGCGTCTATAAACTCCTCACTCACTCCGAATATAGCCGTCCCAATAGGGTGCCTTTTAATTCCCAGGGCTCTAACCCGGTCAAGGTCTCATTCGTCAACGTCAACGACCAGTCAGGCAACGGCGACAGAATCTGTTTCAATGTGGGCCGGGAGCTGTACTTTTATATCTACAAAGGCGTCAGAAAGGTAAACGGAGTGGTGTCTTGTCGAGGTGTAAGGTGTCCTTAGAATAACCGTAGAGCTTGGAACCGGAGAGCACCTGTACCCTGCAGGGCTTATCGGCGACTGAATGACGCCACTCAGTGACAAAGTCGCAGGTTCACTATGTCGGTGTAATCTGCGCGTCCCCGGGACCCAATTGTCGCGTTATGTATCGGGACAGCCGGACTCGGGCCGCGCTGGGAAGCCCCGCACGCGCGGCATTCCCTCGAGCTATCCCTAAGTGCGAATGGGAGGGGGGTGTGTGCGGTGAGCATCCTGATCGCTGCAGGCGTGAGTGGTGGTCGTGCTGCCCTGTAACCGGCAAGTGTCTGACCCCCTCGCACACGCTCACCTGTGTGCCGCTGCTTCTTGGTCTTTTTTTCTACGTGTGTTTTCGAGCGCAGGAAACAGCAGCGCGCACATATCGCACGTTTTTTTATTGATACGACGTTATTAAACACGTGTTATGCTTGGCTGACTACATGCAGACGGATATACTGTATAGGATTGGCGTGAATGACGTTTAGTGCAATGACCGAACACAGTGCCACAGTCATGGTGTGTTAGTTCGTGAAGTCAACAGGAGTCAGTCTTGTGCAAGTGTTTGTAGTTTGTTTATTGTCCATGTCAGCAGCTGGACAGCAGGGGGGTGTTTCACGAAGCAGGATTTCTGGGTTTAGTAAGCTAGAACTCATGATTGTCCAATTAGAGTTTAGGTAAGGAGCATTTGTATTGGACAATCATGACTAAGTTAAACGTTAAACCCAGCTAACCGAGAAATCCTGCTTCGTGGAACACCCCCCAGGCCTGTCAGCAGTGCTGTTGTCACACAGCGATATCTGTAGGACACATAAGTTTAAATGTATTTGACTAATACCGTGTAGCCAGATCAAATCTAGTTCAAAAGTGTCTTACAAACAAAGAAAATTAAAAGTAATTGTTCAGGCTGAATGCCATATGTAACTATTTAATTCCAAACTCTTTTACTCCGTATGTTATTTTCTGTTTAATTAAAGTATCTTCCTGCATCTAGCAGGTTAGTGACAGTGAAGCACCTCTTCCGCAAATAGCCAACTGCAGTTCTGCCTGGTGACAATAACCAGACATGCAGGCTTTCAACATTGGAAGAGCTTGGCAGCTGTTGTTCAGCGTTGGAAAAGCTCTAAAGCCTCTTCAGTTTTCTCATAGAACCAGGATGTTTTGCACAGCCATTGTTAACTACTGTACATTTATCTGGGTTACTGAGCCACAATAGGTGCAGAGTGGTGATTAAGGACATGGGTTTGCTCCAGTAAAATACTTAGCTGATACCACGTGAAATTTTAAGTTGCTGTGGATAAAATGAAAAAGATGTCTTGGGTGTGAGTCAAAAATCAGCATTTGTTTGCAAAGTCAGCTGGCCTGTCTGTGCAGGGCTGGAGGCTGATCACCCCAAATCTCTTTATCTACAGGATTCCTGGATTTCTGTAGTATCTTTTCACTTATTTGAGATTGCATGACACTGTGTGTTTTGTGTGCCAAACGCTGGTTCTGGCTGTATAGTGACAGTGTCCTTGTGGTTTCTGGTTCCGACTCTATAGTGACAATGTCTTCCTGGTCTCTGGTTCCGGCTGTATAGTGACAATGTCCTCGTGGTCTCTGGTTCCGACTCTATAGTGACAATGTCCTTGTGGTCTCTGGTTCCGGCTGTATAGTGACAATGTCCTCGTGGTCTCTGGTTCCGACTCTATAGTGACTATGTCTTTGTGGTCTCTGGTTCTGGCTGTATAGTGACAATGTCCTCATGGTCTCTCTTCATATTTTAGAGCTCTTGTCAGTAGTCAGAATAAAACCTATTTTTTAACATATCCTTGCTGTCTTTGGTATAAATTCATCATTATAAGATATTAGTCATCCTATAGTAAATTTGAATATTTCTTTAAAATTTGGGGTCGTGGGTTTTGTGTTGGGCAGGCAAAGAGAGGAGGAAATTGTTTAGAAGTTCAAAGTGGGCTTCTGGTATGTGCCAGAGGAAGATCCTAGTCGTGGTAGTAATGATAGAGATAAAAGGCAGACTGATTAACAATATGTGGGATCTGCCTGTCACAGCTGTGTTTGTTGTGTTTTTGTTTGTTGGCTTCTGCTCTGCATGTTTTTAGTAATTGTAGTATTAGACATTTAAAGAACTAATGGACAAATTTTTATCAAAGGTGCTGTTTCCCATGTGGGTTGTGAAGGATTGAAGCTGTTATCATCAACAGACTTCATATAACTCAGTGAATGCTTGACGTGTAGTGATCTGGTTGTGTTGATGGTGTTAAAGAGCACTTGTATAGAACGGCTGGGGTCCCCATAGAAATGGCCGAGAGTCACTTATCTAAATGATTAATGAATTCTGTTTAATAAAAGAGTAGGTTGTACTTTATTAGCAGGAATTCCCCTACTCTGATTCTGCTTTTCAGTAAGCATTGATTTAACTCAAGCTTTTACAGGAAACCGAACTGATGTCATTCTGCTGAAGAGGGGATAGATTTTCCAGCTGTGGTGTTTTGCACGAGCACCTTGTATGACTTGTCAGGTTATACAAGAAACACGACCCTGTTTTCATGTGCTCTTGATTCCTTGCACAGCACGTAGCTTGCAGCATTAAGATCTGGCAGACGTGTGTATATGGTGTTTATGCCTATGCATGCCTTCCACCTCTTTTTAAGCCTCTTGCTGTGAATGGCCCGATACATAGACTAACAGCAGTTTGTCGTCTTTTCCCACATTTCAGTTTAACTCAAGACACCTTGTGTGTGACTTTACAAGTTACAATACACTGTAAATAAACTTCTCAAATAATTAGCCATAAAACACATTTTCTTTTCATATTTACAAATATGCATACATGCATGTATAGAATAGCTTGTGCCATTTATTTTAATACTCTTCAGTTACTCAGCAGAAATACTACGGTCAATCAATTATGTCTATTTAATGAAGGGCTGTGGCTTTATTTTAGACTGTTTTGTCTAGGGGAGTTTAGGATCTTGTGTGTTTCTGAGGGTTAGAATGCTGCTGTTTGTGATCAGAAGTTCACTGGTTGAAATCCCAGGTTCAGCAGAGTGATTTCACCAATGGGACCTTGAGCAAGATCAGGAACCGACTTTAATTATCCAGGCTTAGTTATAATTGAGAAAGTGTCCACTGTAAGATATGGTGTTTATAGACATAGATGTCTTTACACAATATTGTATTTTCTTGTTTAGAAAGCTGATGTACTTCTCTGTTAACATTTGGATAGTAGAGTAGATACACCTGAGAGTGTTTATGCCTGTATACTGTATGTTTTAGTGATAGCCTGCAGCAGAATGAAGATGCCCCTGCTGTGTTGAATTCCACCAAGACAAACAACAAATTTGCTACCTCACCTGGGGTATTTGCACAAATCTATAACAAAATAAATAAAAATAATAGGGGAATTGTGACCCAATCACAGTAAGCAAGCGTCCAGAGAAAATTGGAGCCCTCTACGGGACATTGAAGGTTTGGGTGCCCGAATCTGAGTGCGCTGATAGACCTTCAAGAGATGTGGGTGGACATCTAGTGTTACGTGGGGGTCCTGTGTTTCTTTTTTGTTTATTCTTCTTCTTCTTTTTCTTCATTGCCATTAAAAATTCTAAAATAATGTTTGCAAACTACTGATGCTTACCCAGAGTATACACACTTTATGATGAATAAACAACTTTGGTAATTCCTTAAGAAAGTTTGGTTAGAATTTTTAAAGAGAAAATTGATGAGATCCTGTACAGATGTCATGATTGACAGAATCCTGATATCTTCTTCTTGTTGCAGTGCTGTGTCATTCTCCTGCTCTGCAGTGCTGTTCCTCTTTCTCTCTGTTTGATGGTCCTTACCCACCACTTGCATGTTCTCTGCGCCTGTTTCTGCTGCCTGTTCCTGTCCGGCTCTGTTTCTCTCGCCCATCTTCGCAGCTTCCTTCATTTTTTCACTTGGCTGTGTGCAGGCGGCTGATCTGAGCAAACCGATAGACAAGAGGATATACAAGGGAACACAGCCGACATGTCATGACTTCAACCACCTGACAGCGACGGCCGAGAGTGTCTCTCTGCTGGTGGGCTTCACGGCCGGCCAGGTGCAGCTCATCGACCCCATCAAGAAGGAGACCAGCAAGCTGTTCAACGAGGAAGTGAGTGTAGATCAGTGAACATGCTCTGAAGCTCGGTCTTTGTCAGTCCATCAGCACTGACTAATATTGTTTTAAAAATGTTAATTTATTGGGGGCAGCACAGTCATTAGCACTGTTCTCTCACACCTCTGGGTCCAGGGTTCGAGTCTCCACCATGGATTTATGTGTGAGGAGTTTCTCCCCGTGTCATCGTGAGGTCTAACTTTTATAGCACTCAGAATTTAACCTCACTACAGCACAGTTTTTTTCAGTGCTTTTTACTTCAATTTGTGTTTATTGTATACAGTGTTAATGTGCTTCCCATGATCCCACCAGAAAATAAACTTAAAGTGAAAATGTTGATTTTATTTATGATAAATAAACAGATTGTACAGAAGCTTCTGAAAAAAACCTTAAACTATACTGGATTCATGTCAGTTACTACAGCTCAATGCCCAGAGTTACTGGTTAATATTAGCTGAAATGTAGATTACAGTGAGAGTGCACAGTAGTGAAAAGACAGAGGTAGCTAGAGGTAAAGAGACAAGACGAGCTAAAATGCACAGTGTCACAATGTCACAGAACTGGCAGCCATCTTTTCCTGAAGGAAGCTGAGCTCTGTGGTTTAAGTGTGAACTGTATTGTTTGCTGCTTGTTACCTAGAGTTCATGAGCAGTCAAATAAATGAGCATTTTGGCTTGTTATCTCAACTAGCCATACAAGGAACGCCTCTGGTCCCCAGAGTGCCTGGGAATTACAGGCTGTTAGCGGATGCAGCAGCGCTCCTCTTATCTCTACCTAGCTCTCCTGCATGGTGCTCTGTGGTTTATTGTGGGATAATGTGATCGGTTGGCCCTGGATGACCAAACATCAACTGCCTTCTAGTGTAAACAATCATGGAAGCAGTCCTCAAAGAATGGGGAACTGGTAGCTAAATTTACAGCAAAAATCTGTAAAACAGCAGCATGCTTTTGATAAGAGCCTCTATTCTCCCACTTCGTTTCTTTGATTCATAATGTGAAGCGAAGCGGTGTGTCCTGATGTCAGCTCGTGGTATGATCTTTTTCTGCCTTTCTGCCTACTCCTGCTTGACAGAGGCTGATCGATAAGTCCCGGGTGACGTGCGTGAGGTGGCTGCCGGCCTCGGAGAATCTCTTCCTGGTCGCCCATTCCAGCGGCAGCATGTACCTCTACAACGTGGAGCACGCCTGCGGCACGGCGGCGCCACACTACCAGCAGCTGAAGCAGGGCGACGGCTACGCCGTGCACACCTGCAAGAGCAAGTCCACGCGCAACCCGCTGCTGCGCTGGACGGTGGGCGAGGGCGCGCTCAACGAGTTCGCCTTCTCGCCCGACGGCAAGTTCCTGGCCTGCGTCAGCCAGGACGGCTTCCTGCGCGTCTTCAGTTTCGACGCCGTCGAGCTGCACGGCACCATGAAGAGCTACTTCGGGGGCCTGCTGTGCGTGTGCTGGAGTCCCGACGGCAAGTACATCGTGGCGGGGGGGGAGGACGACCTGGTCACCGTCTGGTCGTTCGCCGACTGCCGAGTCATCGCCAGGGGCCACGGCCACAAGTCCTGGGTCAGCGTGGTGTCGTTTGACCATTACACCACCAGCATAGAGGAGAGCGAGCCTATGGAGTTCAGCGGCAGCGACGAAGACATCCAGGACCAGATCCACTTTGGCCGAGATCGGGCCAACAGCACGCAATCACGGCTGTCCAAGCGGAACTCTACAGACAGCAGGCCCGTCAGTGTGACATACCGGTTCGGCTCAGTAGGCCAGGACACTCAGCTATGCTTGTGGGACCTGACGGAGGACATCCTGTTCCCTCACCTTCCACTGTCGCGGACCAGGACGCACACCAACGTCATGGGCGGCAGCAGCCCGCGCATAGGTGTGCCAAATGCCCTCATTAGCACCAACCCGGGCACCAATGGCAACAACGGGGTGACCCTCCCAGGCAACTCGCTCCCAGCACCGTTACCGCGCTCCAACAGCCTGCCGCACTCGGCAGCAAATGCAGCGGGCGGCAAGGGCAGCATGCTGGCGGACGGCGCCGTGGCCTCAGGGGTCGGCAAGTTCGCCACGCTGTCGCTGCACGAGCGCAAGGAGCGGCACCACGACAAGGAGCACAAGCGCAACCACAGCATGGGGCACATCAGCAGCAAGAGCAGCGACAAGCTCAACCTGCTGCCCAAAACCAAAGCGGACCCCGCCAAGACCCTGGGCACCACGCTGTGTCCCTGCATGGAGGACGTGCCCCTCTTAGAGCCTCTTATCTGTAAAAAGATCGCACACGAAAGACTCACGGTCTTGATATTTCTGGAGGACTGTCTGGTCACAGCCTGCCAGGAGGGCTTTATTTGCACCTGGGCACGGCCGGGTAAAGGGGTAAGTTTTCCCATTTGAAGCTTAAACTGGTTTTAGTCTTTTTAGTTTGGTCCTCTTTTAGTTTAATATAAGCCACCCCGTCGGACCCATTTTGTAACATTCTATGCAGAATATCTACAGTCACGCCCGATAGTTCTCAATCGGCATCGTGGCTTGCTCGAGATGTATGTTGTCTGGATTTTCTAGAAAGCGTTTTCTGGCCTGGATGCCCCCCCTGCTCAGTGAAGCTTCTGCACCACTAGGGGGCGCACTTCTCATACTTGCGCTTTTCTGTGACATGACATGCATTCATACATGTTGGCAGAGGGCGTCCTGCTGGTATGGGCCCGCCAGGGTGCTCACGGTCGCGCGCTTAGAGAGAGGGGCGGCCAGCTGAATGATTGTGCTCGTTTAGAAGGACTGAAACGCATCTATCCTTTTTTTTTCTTTTTCCTTTTTTTTCCCCTCCAGGGCTTATTGTCATCCCAAAACCAGGCCAGCTCTCCCAGTGGGACGGTAGTATAGCCATCATAGCTTTTTTTTCTATTTCCTTTCTTTTCTTTTGCTGCTAAGAAACCTAATTTTCCAACCTCACCAGAGCTTGGTCTTCACCTTCAGCACTGCACAGCTTCCTGTTATTTTCCCCATTTTTCTCTCCTTTGTTTTGTTGGGTGTTTCTAACATATATGATCTATAAACAAAATACTGGAATGGTGAAGTGCAATAGTATGCAGTGGCTGTAATGGACTGGGCGGCGGGGGCTGGGGAGGGAGACCCCCTGTCCATTCATGCTTCTCTGCTCCCTGCTGACATTCTCTCCCCAGTTTTTTTTTTCCTTTTTTACAATTTCTGAACGAGGTATAGTCTTATTGAACCTGCTTAGTAAAGGGAGACTGAAGAACTGTTTGCTTCCATATGTAAACCTTAATGGTTTGAACCATTTCTCAATGAATTTAGGACCTCAGAGTTGAGTATTTTTGCACTGATATCTTTTGGTTTGCTGTTTTTCTTTTATATAACAGAGGAACAAAATCTAGATGCTCTTGGGCCATTGACATTACATCATTTCCATCTGGCTTCAACCTGTGAATCTAAAAGCTGGATGCGACTCTGCACACACTAATTATAATATAGTGTGTGAATGTGTGTGTATGTATGAGATTGTTTGCACTTAGTAGAATGGCTTTACGATTTCTTGGGGTGATTTCCCAGACAGGTCTGAGGTGAAATGATAGTTCAAACCTTTGTATCTATGGAACATTTATTTTAAATTTGTCAAATTAATTTGACTCTGTATTGTATGTGAAAATATTGTATTTCAGTGATTGGAGGGGAATGGTCGTTACCCCAGTGGAAATTCATCACCATTTAAAGAAATAGTTTCTAATTCAGAAAGAAATATATATACATATTAATAATATTAAAACTCTTGAATATGCAGGTTTTTTTTTCTTTTTGGTTGTACAAAAGATTATTCAGATGTATTTTTCTTAATGAAATGTTGGTACAGGAGAGACCTTTGTATCAAATGCTCATATCTCCGTAATGAAGCTCTAATGCTTACTGTTACACATTCACTCAGAAGCTCAGGAAGTCTAAGGCAGACTGAACAATATAAGAAACAATTAAGATTTTGCTTAACATCAGCAATGCTATTCTGTGTAACTTAAGTAGCATCCTCTAGGAACACCTAGTTTCAGGGTTCACCAATGGGAGCTGTCCCGCGTGACACCATTAAAGCTCTTTTACTCTACCTCCTCCTCTGTGATGTCCGCTCTTTGTCAATGTGTGTTGCGAAGCTTTGGCCCTGACAGAGAGCTCATTTGCAAAGAGCTGCCAAATCAATTCCTGACTTTAACAGGGGAAAAAAAAGTGAATTGTGATTTTAAAGCAGCTTCATTTGACATCTGGAAGAGGAGCTTTTTCAGCCAGGTGGTGCCTCAGATACTGGACATTGCCATGAAGGGCCTGAGGCATTAGTACTGAGATTGGTGCCGCTGTTCCTCTTATCAGCTGCTGACCGGAAGACCACGTGTGGGATGAACACTGTGTTTCACGCACTCCACCTGACATATCTGTGCAAGGAGTGATTACAGAACCTCGAGCAAACCCATGATAAGCAAATCGATCGCATTTGTATTTCTCTGTTTGTACAATTGATTTGCAATAAAATACAGCTGATTATAAATTGACAACAAATTCCATATAGCTAAACAATCCCATATTTTGTACTCTGTCATTATATGGCATTCTAAATTTACTCCACCCATTAAATGGGGGGGATTCCCCCCCCACCCCCCACTTCTGTTCTTTACATCTGAAATTATTCCTACTGCTGGAAAACTATGTAGGATCGGCTTGTTGCTACTGTTCTGGAGAATTCTCTGCCTTTATCCGGTTTGCTTTTAACTAATGCGCCTTGTGAGAAAATGGCAGGCTTCGTTGTGGAAGAAAGGGGGCGCTATACTTACCATCGCCTTCCAGAATGTGGGCACACAAACCAGCAGAAAGTGCTGTACTGAGCAGTTCCATATGATGTGCAAAATGAATTGCTGCATATGACAAGACCTAGGTGATTATGACCAGCTAGTTGGCCTCGTCAGCATAGAAACTCTGCCAATATGGCCCCAGTGACAAGATCTGTCACCTGTAACAGCTTTTTCTTGAAGGAGACGATCATCTTTAAAAAAAATGGTGAAAGGCAGCTATTGCCACTACATATCAGTGTTTTGTTTGCTGTTGTTTTTGGGGATGCAAACCAATAACTTTACTGACCCACAGTCATTCTCCCCTCCAAACAGCAGGATGTTCAGCACCAAGCTTGAATATTAAGTTCATAGCATGACTATAGTAGACCGCAGGCAGAGCTACTGTGCAGTAGAGGACCGAAGTCTAGTCTGTAGTAGGCAGAAGAGATGTATCCTTTTTCCTGAAGCAACACAAGTATGGAGAGCAGCATATGGCTCAGTGGGATAAGCCTCTGCTTGAGCCAAGCCTCAGTAGAACAGTCATGTCTAGGGCCCCTTGAGCGGGGCCCCTAACCCCCAGTTCGATGGCCGCCACTGTGGGTGGGTGGCCTTTGCTGCCTAGCTTGCCTTACCTTCATGTGTCTGTGTGTCATGGAGAGCAAGATCGCATGGGTGAAGAGTAGCAGTGTAACGATATACTCGGCCCACGAGACGAGACCCAATATTGGGTTCACGAGAACGAGACGAGACGATATTTTAACATTTTAGGAAAAACGTCAAAGAGGAAATATATTACTGGAAAGCAGCCTTTAATTTGAAAGACAAAAAATGCTAAATAATGCAGATGTATGGTGAAATGTGTTAAATAATCACTATCATCATATGCAGTAAAGAACAGAACAAATATCTAGCACCATAAAATATTTCACCACAAACTCAAATGAGAGGCTTCTCTCCTATTTGACTTCTAAATTTAACATAAAATAGAATATAAGTAAAACAATATAAATAACAAACATAAAACATTTTTTTTAATGTTTTCTTCACTGGTGCAGTGGATATAAGTAAAGACCTACGATGGTGCTGCAAATGGCTTTACATAGTAGCAGCGTTACAGATGCTGTACAGATGGTTCGTGTTTTGTCTGTCACCCTTTCGCCGTTTATATTTAAAAAAGTGTCTGGGGCATCTTCTATGGTAATTGCGTCAGACGCGGACATACTTACAGCAGCTGATCTGCAGCGACTTCGCACTCCGACGAGAAATCTCGTCATGTTGTAATATCGTGAGATCTCGTGACACCCCCTAATAATTTCCCAAGATCAACAGCATTATTATTATTATTATTAATATCAATAATATTGTTTATTATTATTTTTGTAGTTGCTGGAAATCTTAGAGATATCTACCCTACTGGAGGAGTCTAAAGTCCCAGTTGACAGGCTATCAGAACCTAAAATGAAATTAACTTTCTCACGTTGCGACCTGCATTGGAAGGGCCCCAGTTTAACAAGCCCCCTGTCTCCAGTGACCTGCTGATCAGACGTCAATAACTAAGCAAACCGTAGGATTCAAGGATTATTAGGGGTAAAAACTGAACATATTCACTATGGACATGGAGATGGCCTCCAGGGTTTGGTGCAGATCTTCTTGTTGCCATGAGACGGGCACCAGTGATCCATCATCAGCAAAGGCAGGGATTCTCACCCACATTCCAGGGGAGTTTGCCAGAGGTCAATCGTCTGATAAAACCCTGATTCAAGGCCATGTTGGGATATTAAGTTTAAAAAAAAAAGTTTTTTTTTTTTTCCAAGATGGCGCCACGGTAGGCAGCTGGTTACCTCAGGTCCCAGCTCGTTTTTTTGTTTTAAGTTTGTTTTAAGTCTTTTCTTCCCGACTCTCGTGGTTGTGTTTACTTTCGATTGCAATCCGACATGGACCTACAAAGTTTCTTGAGAGTAGTAGCATGCTTTCTACTCCTTTTGGGACTTTTTACCACCGCATCTGGAGAACCCGTGAGCCACCTCACTGTTTACTGCAGGGAGCAGCTATTAGCGCTGCATAACAGCAGGGTACTCCCGGAGGAGCGCCCAGAGATTCTGAAGGAACTACGGCGTCGGAGGAGGGGATGTAGGGCTGGAGCGAAGTACCGGGAGAGAAGGACACGGTACAAACCGAGCATTCCATCTATCCTCATGGGTAATGTAAGATCTTTACCAAACACAATGGAAGAGCTAACGGCGCTAACCAGACTGCAGTGGGAGTACCAGCAGAGCAGCCTCCTGCTGTTCACTGAGACCTGGCTCACGGACCACACACCAGACTCCGTCGTAACTTTGGATGGCTTTCAACTGGTGAGAGCGGACAGGAGCGCAAGGGACAGTGGTAAGAGGAGGGGTGGGGGACTAGCCATGTACGTCAATGAGAGATGGTGTAATCCGGGACACATAACTGTGAGGGAACAGCGCTGTACCAATGACATTGAACTGTCAGCGGTTAGCGTTCGGCCATACCACCTGGCCCGAGAGTTTTCTCATGTTATTGTGCTGACTGTCTACATCCCTCCCTCGGCCGATGCTACGACAGCCTGTGAGCACATTCACTCCACGGTTTCACAGCTACAGACGGCACATCCACAGTGCCTCATTATTATCTCTGGGGACTTCAGTCATGCCTCACTACCTGCCACTCTCCCTAACTTCTCCCAGTATGTGGACTGCCAGACAAGGGACAACAAAACCCTGGAACACAAAGCAGGCTTACAGTGCAGCTCCGCTCCCCCCGCTTGGCCACTCAGATCACAACCTGCTCATCCTTCAACCTATTTACACCCCTATGGTGAAAAGGAAACCCCCCACTAGGAAGGTAATAAGGCTGTGGTCTGAGGAATGCAGTGAGGCCCTGAGAGACTGTTTTGAATGCACGGACTGGCAGGAACTCTGCAGGCCCCACGGTGAGGACATCGACGCCCTCACCCACTGCGTCACGGACTACATAAATTTCTGTGTTGAGAATACTGTTCCTACCAAGAAGGTACGGTGTTTCTCTAACAATAAACCGTGGGTGACCTCAGAACTGAAGGCTCTGCTGAATGAGAAGAAGAGAGCTTTCAGATCTGGAGACCAAGAAAAGCTGAGGAGAGTTCAAAATGATCTCAAATATAAGATCCGAGGTGGCAAGAAGCACTTCAGGAAGAAGATGGAAAACCAACTCCAACAGAATAACGTCAGAGAAGTCTGGAGGAACATGAAAAAAATCTCTGGACACTTCAAAGACACTGGAGGAGCCACAGTGTCTGCTGACCAGGGGGGGGCCAACGACTTGAATCTTTTTTTCAACAGATTCGACTCGGGGCCATCAACCACCTCCCCCACCCCCCAGCTTCCATCAACTCCCCTCGTTATGCTGCCCCCCCTCGGTCCTGGTGCAATCCCATTGTTACCTGAGCTCTCCTCACACCATCACCTAGTTTCACCCCCATCTACATATCTACCCACAAGACAGCCAGCCCCATCCCCCAACCCAGCCCAGCCTGATATCTGCCTCACAGTCGATCAGGTGAGAAGCCAGCTCAAGAGGACGAAGGCAAGGAAGGCAGCTGGTCTGGATGGAATCTGCGGCAGACTGCTCAGGGAATGTGCAGATCAGCTCTGTCAGGTGGTCCAGCATATCTTCAACCTGAGCCTGAGTCTGAAGAGGATTCCTGAACTGTGGAAGAATTCCTGTGTCATCCCGGTGCCGAAAATTGCACCATTTTAGACCTGTGGCCTTGACTTCTCATCTGATGAAGACCATGGAGAGGCTCATCCTGCACCACCTTCGCCCACTGGTGAGCTCAGCGATTGACCCCCTGCAGTTCGCATACCGGTCTGGAATCGGGGTGGATGATGCTGTCATCTGTTAGCTAAGCTGACATCCATCATGAACAACCCACATCACCCTCTGCATGAGACTGTGAGTGTGCTGAGCAGCTCCTTCAGTCACAGACTGATACACCCTCTGCATGAGACTGTGAGTGTGCTGAGCAGCTCCTTCAGTCACAGACTGATACACC